TCAAACTTTTGTGGGTTTTTGTAATATTAATTAGGGGTTGTTTGCAAACTTTCAAGCTCGCGTGACCTCGCGCGTGCTTCTTTCAGAAACAGTAAAAATCCTTTCTCCACTGGGTCCCCCCACTGTAACTCCGAGTCTTCCCCTCAAGAGTTCTGTTATGGTGTTCCCATTTTTCGCCAAAATACCACTCTAATACCGAGTAACTGACAAAGTGTACTCCTACACGGCATACCCCAATCATCTTGGCGGCCAGAGACAATTAGGGCCGACAACTCAGCCGACCTAGTTCTGTTATGGTGTTCCCAATCTACTGAGAATATAGGTCATCCTGGTTTTGCTCCTATCATTTTTTGTGTTGGCCAGTGACAATGGTACCTAGTATTTGTTGATTCACTTAAAACATAATGGCAGTCTATAGTGTTTGATATTACTGCACTACCAATAATGGCATGCATGTGGTTCTGCAGAGATCATACGAAAGGATATCTATTCAAGTATATGAAAAAAAAACATAATAACTTCACTTGTTCAGCCATTCCTTAAGAGATTTGGATCCTCCCCACTACCAAGAGGTAGTTAACCTTTGATTAATTTATGAATGATTGATGATTTTTATGATTCATCATTCCAACTATAATACTTCCTATACTCCCATGAATTGTACTCATTCATATCGTGCACTCAAGAAAGACATATCACAATCATACATTAAAGAATTAAGAATCGACAGTTGAATTAGCGGTCTCTCCGCTACTTAGTATTAGAGAGGATCCCAGATTCCCAATCCATTTCCTAGCATTTCCTTCTTTGGAGAGGATCACAGTCCATTTCTTAGTCTTCCTTCCTTTGTAATTTCTTTATTTTTATGGCAATAAAACTCATAGGATCTAAATCTACAATTGCCCTACATGATTTATTTGTCTCATTGGACAAAACTTATACTGAGCCATCTGCAGGTAAACGCCATCAAGTGGTGACCAAAATTTTAAGACACCCAGCAACTTCCATCAGTAATGCAACACGTATAGAGGGTGAAAACTTTTCCTCCGTCTCATATTGAAGGAGTTGGGATGACCCAAGAACTGAAGACAGAATTTGAAGACATCAAAAGATTGAGATGCGATTTTTTCTTGGATGGATTTGGAGGATGGGAGGATAAGATATGCAGGCAGATGATCGATAAAATGCTCAACCCAGACAAGTTTCAGAGATTCACACTTGCATCTCAAGAGATGCAAGCACCACCTAAAGGTATGGTTAATTTGTTCTCCTTGATTAAACATGCTCTTCAACTGTTTGATAAAATGCCTTATGAGAATGCTATTGGAATTCAGAGCTTGGCAGCGTATTTAGTAAGCCTTAGTACCTCAATATCAAAGTTATCACATATTCTCTTTTCTTAGTTTTTAAAAGTGAACCAAACATAATAAAAAAAATCTTTTATAGAAAATATGTTTTTTCCTTTTTTTAAGCCAACCAAACAGCCCCTTAGTTGCAATTACGACTCATATATATAAGAGTGGTGTTAGGGGCACCCCCCCTACCACACCACCAACCACACCCCCCTCTCCCATCGCTACAATAAACCGGGTCTCACATGAGATTTTAAAAATTTTAAAATCCCAAGTGGGACCCGGTTTACTGTAGCGATGGGAGAGGGGGGTGTGGTTGGTGGTGTGTTAGGGAGTGTGCCCCTAACATTATTTTATATATAATTGTCCACAATCACGTGGCTCGTAACAGCCCTCGTCATCAAGTTTGAAAATTTTGAAGGCAAGGAATCCAAAGCAAAGATCAATAATTGGTTTCCAAGCGCCACCGTTTTATTTTTTGACTTGTTGACTTATAGACTTGTACTGCGCAAAGTAGTTGATATTCATCCTCTCAATTTTTCCTGCAAACGGCAACTTAATGTGGGGACGGAGTGGGGTTTATCATAATAATTCGGAGTGTGGATATAAGTCCCCATTTCTTTAGGGGCAAATTTGCAAAATAGACCGTTTTTGGAATAAAATTAGCGAAATAGACCGTTTTTGGAAAAAATTAGCAAAATAGACCGTTTTTTGGGAAAAGAGGTCGATTTTGAAAAATGGATCAGAAAACATACGGGACTACTAGTCCCGTATGTTTAAAGTTCACTAATTTTGTTTGTTAACAAAACGTACGGGACTAGTAGTCCCGTACGTTTTCAACATCACAACACAAATCCGACGGAATACACATCACATCCAAAATCCGACAAAAATACACATCACAAATCCATACGATAATATATATCAGTCTAAGCTAAACAAATCCAAATGTCTCAAGTCGACCCATACGATAATATGTAGTTTAAGATAAACAAATCCAAGGTCAATAAATCCATACGACAATATATATCTTAGTGGAAAAACTAACAAATAAAAAATCCACCCCTTCCCCGTCGTCTCTCTCTTCGCACTCGTTGAGATCGTCGGCGTCCTCCTTCGACTTGAGCTTGAATATGCTCGCTCTCCGGTTGTGTGTGGGGCTGTGATGGACCGGCTTGCTGTGACGGACCGGCTTCATCGTCGTGCGTGCAAGGTCTACCGCGCCTACGTCGGCGTACATATAGAGTATCGTCAAGATCCACCTGCTCACGACCTTCATGCCGATCCTCATGAGTTTGTTGAAAAGCTCTACGAACTCTCGTCACAATCCGATGCAATATCGATACATGTACTGAATCTCCTGTGGCGGTAGCTAAGCCCTTATTTGCAATCCCCTCGACCTCGTCCATAGCATCTATCTATAATTACATAAAAATATTGATATTAGAAACCATAAGCTAAGAAGAGATTGACATTCTATGATAATTTTGACAATTTAACTTACCCATCGTCGCTCATCTACCCCTCTTGGTACATATCGGGATTATTGGGAGTGAATCTCGATTTCGTTGACTGGAGGCGTAGTTTGAGTGATTATCCAACGTCTGGTAATCCCCCAATACCATTTAATGTAATCAACTTCTTCCATCGGAGGATAAAGCGGATCGACAATAAGTTGATGCCGATCATTCCACCGAGCTATGTATGATTGATGCGTGCGCCTCCAGTCAATCTGATGTCCACCTTTAGTCGCCTTTCTCTCTATTTTTTCGACATATTGTGGAGCATGTTGCGCGAGTCCAAACTGTCTAAATACGCGATCAGGTACGTGTATCTCCACAATCTCGAAACAAATGAGAGGAACTCTAGCCCTCCATATGCCGTGTCCCTCCATACAAATCAGCGGTAGACGAGGTAGGTGAGGGGTGTATGGCTGCCACTCGAACTGAAAAAAAATCCAAATGTTAATATCTCTTTGAAATATATTGATATCATAGAGTACTTCAATTCAAATTCGATACCTGAAAAATTTTCATCCGGTCGAGCTCCCCTCTGTAAAAATCTAATTGCCTAGCCGGGGTCTCATCATAGGCTTTTGTGACATTCCATCTGCAAGAAACGTTTTTGTTCAAAATGTTAAATTTAAAATTAAATACAAATGAGATTCAATTTGACGCTTTTTACCTGCAGCCTAGTGGAATATGTCCATCTAACTCTCGGATCTCGCATAATCGTGGTTTCAAAACCAATCTTTCCCATGCCCAAACTTGTAGCAATGTTAAACAACCCTTGAGCTCCTTATTTTGCATTAAAGCAACCTTTGACATTTCTCGATATAGGTATGCTAAAACAGCACTACCCCAGGATAATGTCCCGCACATGTCGAAGTCTTCGATAAGTGGTAACCACCTAGCGCGAGTTCAAATACGTTAGTCATGTATACTAAGAATAGTGAGCAAAAATCAATACTTAATGTTTACTTACCTCAAATGGACTTTATGTTTACTTGAATCGGGAAAAAGAAGTGTCCCGATCATGTGCATAATATATGCTCTCGCATGCTGTTGGATCATCACTTCAGGTGCATCTTGTGGCAACGGGTTTCCAAAACTCTCCTTAAGCCACTTCAATCTAATATACCCTCCAGGCAAGGACTCCGGAGATATTCCTAACAAATTATCACATACTCTTCGCCAAACATGCCTATCAGTCCCCGTGATACAAGGGCCATCAATGCGGAGACCTAGGATCACTGCTACATCCTGGAGAGTAATAGTTGTCTCGCCGACACGTAGATGGAAAGTATTAGTCTCCGGCCTCCATCTATCCATCAACGCGTTAAGCAGTGCCCAATCGAGCTTCATCCATTTCAATTTTGAGCAAGTAAGAAAACCGGCTTGGGATACTAGGGCAATGATGCGAGGATCATCAAGTGGCCAGCGCGTATGTCCAAGGCTATGATCAATCATAACCAGCTCTTGTCCTCTCTGCACATAAATGAATACAAAGATTATAAAAATGAATAAGTAATATGTGACTGTAAATATGTTATCATTACCGATGTCAATGATATGCTCTCCGAACGGTGGCGTGACTGATCATAAAGGACTTCATCATTATCCGGTCCGGGAAGCATCGTGTATATACCTGCACATATAACGGTAACTTATGAGTTTCTGCCAAATCAAATACATATGAACAATGTATCTACTTGCTAAATCAATAACATATAATGATGACATATCATTAGAAAATATTTTACTTACAAATTAATTGCTATCTACTTGCTCTTGATGGACAACGAGACCTATTATGTCCTAATTGATTACATTGTCCACATCGGGTTCGTGACGCTACTCCTTCACGACCTTGATCCATGGTAGATCTAATGCGTACGGATTTTGGTCGTCCAGCTTGTCTTTTGTGCTTAGGTGGTAATAAGTACGGTATATATAATTCCGGCCAATAGCGAGTATCATCGGGAGGATGAAAACTCTCCTTATAAGCCCGCCGATAATGATTTGTTGAATACCAAGCTGAGCAATATCGGTCATAAAGCAATCTAGCTCCACCATCTTGATTGGAACTAGCTGCTAAAACGTGTTGACATGGGATTTTCTGTAATTGTGGTATACTACAAGTACAACTGCACTCCTGATCGTCGAGATGAACGGTGTATGTACCATCACAATCTTTAACCTCCCACTCATTGTTGTTGAATTGTTCAATTCTACATGTTCTCACAGCCACAATCCTTTTCTGCAAAATAATCTCATTTTTTGGAGTGTACTTACTCGTCCAATTTGCACTATCAATGCGCCTCTTATTAAAATATGCGTTCAATCTATAAAACGTCCTTGCAACTAAGGCTTGAATTGGCATAGCACGGGCACCCTTAAGTACGCCGTTGAAACTTTCGGAACAATTAGTTGTCATCATACAATATCGCACTCCACCATCTTTACATAATGCCCATCGATCTTCGTATTGCGGCTTCAAGTTTTGTTCAATCCAATCGTGGGCTTCAAGTGATATGGATTTAATTTTCTCTCTACAATGCTCATATACCAGTGAGTCAGTTGCACAACCGGCTTGCCATAATAGATTTTGTAAATTGACCTCTCCATGTTTTTTCTTAAAATTAGCTCTTATATGCCGCAAGCAATATCGGTGATGATGTGGTGCACTCCACCCCTCGTGCAAGGCTCGTGGAATTCCTTTCATCCGGTCAGAAATAAAGGTAATAACTCGTGGACTTTGAACAGTCGGAATATATTTGTAAATACATTGAAAAAACCACTTCCAACTCGATGTATCCTCCACCTCCACAACTGCAAAAGCTACAGGAAATAGCCCACCGTTTGCATCTACACCGGTCGCAACCAAGATTACTCCTTTATACTTGCCATATAAATGTGTTCCATCGATACTTAAGAGCGGACGACAAAAAGAGAACCCTCTGATAGCGGGCCCAAATGCCCAAAAAACACATATGAACCTCTCCGTTTCTGGTGCGACCTCCTTAGACACTATGTCATATTCGGTACCCGGATTGTTCCGCACAATTGCTGAAAGGTAATGCGGAAGTAATTGGTAAGATTCCTCCCAATCTCCAAAGATTTTAGTCAACGCCTTCCTCCGTGCATCATATGCTTTAAACTTGGAAATTGTTATTCTTTTCATGTCATATACCCTTGTAATTATCTGTCCTGGAGTAAGATCAAGTTCCCGCCTAACTTCGGGCATAATTAGCTTTGCGATATAAGAGGAAGTCAAAGTCTTATGATCATAAGTTGCAGTCGAATTAGAACATGTATGGAGTCCGCAATAACTAGAGATTATAAACTGGCCAAGTGATTTTTTCCTAATAGCTGCATTAAGCTTCCATGGACACTTTGAATTTCTATCATCTGCAGCACTTGTATTCTCTCCTTGACCTCTCTCATTAAAGTAACACTTTACATGATAGCTAGTTGTGTTGCTTTTCACCGTCTTGAATTTGACCCGGTTTTTTATTGTCCATTCACGTATAGCGAAAATTAATGTTTCCTTGTTCTCGAAAAGATCTCCTTTCTTGAAAGTAAAGTCCTCGGATGGATCGAAATTAGGGCCAGGATCGACGAACTCAGCTTGTGAGGCATTTATCCACTCATCATTTTGAAACTCTTCTGGCAACGGCTCTTCAGACTCTACGTAGTCGTTATTTACGCAATATTCATCCATCCAACTTACGTCATCATTGGTCTCTCCAATTGCATACTGCATACTATCAAGACGTTCATCCTCTTCAGCATCTTCAGTATCATCATCGGCATCTACATCCTCATCATTATCCTCTGCTATTGTAGAACCCCCCGGTAAATCAACTGAAACATAACCCGGCGAGTTGTGGAACACGTCATTTGACATTGCACCCGACTCATTTTTAAAGCGCATGGCACTTTGAGATAACGAGATTTGATTATCAAGCATGCGGGAGAACTCTCCACGAGCATATGAAACTTCAGCGACCGAATACACTGGAATATTTTCAATAAACAACTCGATTGATACTTGTTTTTCCGCAAGCTGTATCATGTTATTCAATTCTTCATCATTGGTGATCTCTACAGCAATTGTTCTTTGATCATTTATTGGACAATTACAGAAGATCTTAATGGAATTTTCGACGTGATTAATTCCAGTGACTCTGTATATTTGCGCCACCAATCTATCAAAGTTGTAATTTCTGGACAACATGAACATTTTCCTAGAGCCTCCATCGTATATAGGCATATTATTCATTCCAATACTCAGATTTCCATTGAATAAGCAAATAATCGGTACTCCGTTCGCCATTTTAACTGAAGCATTAAAATTCATCATATAATAATTATATTTTTTTCCAGAGATTTTTCTAGACCATAATCATATATTTCTTCTAGATATACAACATTAACTAAACAATACATATAAATTTATGGAAAAATTAAAATTTGTACCTTGATTAAATCTCAGATCTCCTCGGCCTCGCAGAGAATCGACGGCGTCGGCGTCAGATTTGAGGGAGGAAGAGGTGAGTTGGGTTTGGGGGAGAGAGATAGGGATTGTTGGGTTTTGGGATAGATGGAGATCGGGTTTGGGAGAGAATGAGAGCTTTGATCGGCTTGGGAGAGAATGAGAGCTCGGGAAAGAGAGAGGGGGAGATCTAGAGTTGAGCTCAGGAGAGAGAGAGAGAGAGAGGGGATCGGAAGTGGGTGCTCGGGGGAGAGAGAGGGAGATGGCGAGAGAAAAAAACGAAGGGGAAAATGTGCCCTAGGTTCGGGGTATATATAGTCTGTATTTATACGGGACTAGTAGTCCCGTATAAATTGCAGACTAGCTTTAATGCTCGCGAAATCCACGGGACTAGTAGTCCCGTGGATTTGCTTGGCATAGGCCTCGTTGGCTCTGAAAAACGTACGGGACTAATAGTCCCGTACGTTTTGTTAACAAACAAAATTAGTGAACTTTAAACATACGGGACTAGTAGTCCCGTATGTTTTCTGATCCATTTTTCAAAATCGACCTCTTTTCCCAAAAAACGGTCTATTTTGCTAATTTTTTCCAAAAACGGTCTATTTCGCTAATTTTATTCCAAAAACGGTCTATTTTGCAAATTTGCCCTTTCTTTAGCAATGCAGGAGGACTAAGGAGTTCTCTGCAACTCTCTGCAATCGAAGTTTACATCCTACTACCAAAAAGCAAAAGCAAAGAGTGTTTGATACTCATAAAAACATGGTGGTGGTCGGAGACGTGATTGTGAGCAAGATCATCGAGAAGTTGGTGGAGATCGGGTTCGAGTATGCAGCAGACCGGTATTTTGCTCGGGATACTCGGATGAAAGTTGAGCTTGAGAGGCTCAACGATGCTCTTCCTCGTGTCCAAGCTGTTGTGGAGATGGCTGAGAGCGGGCAGCAAGAGATCAATGGAGCACTCAAGAAATGGCTGTGGCAACTAAAAGATGCTGTTTACGAGGCTGACAACGTACTTGATGAGCTTGATTACCTTAAGCTACAGAAACAAGCGGAGATGAAGGCTGCAGGTGCCAAAGGACATGATCACAGTAAGTTTTGGATCTAAATATCAAAATCCTAGTTATATGACCTTTGCCTTCTTTTTTACAGTTTTTATTCCATACATTCATGTTTGGTTTGGACCTGAAAATGATACTATACTCATGTTATACAGATACCAAATAATAATTGATATTTTTCCTACTTCAATCGACAGAAGAAGCAAGTGGAAACGCTGTAGACAGCGAAGGACATGGTCACAATAGGAAATACTGGATTTAAAAATCAGAAGGTCAAAATTTCTATAGATTAATTTGGTGTTTTTAGAAACTGACTTCTTGGTTTTATGGCCTCTGCCTTACTTCTATTCATTTTTTTTATTTCATACATTAAAGTTTAGCACTAGATACTTAAAACTAATCGTGATTATTTTTTTCTAATTCAGTCAATAATTGACGATGGAACTTGTCAACCAATTTGATATGCAGGTAGCAAAGACCACCATCATAGTACTAGTTTTCTTTCTAGCTCTAAAGGAAAAGTTGTCAAATTAAGTAAAAGAGTCTTCAAATCTGATCCCACCCTCCAGAGACTGAGGGTGGCTCTCAAGAGGATTGATAAAATCGCAGCAAGTGTAGGAAATTTCTTCACTATGCTACAAGAGTCCAACCAACTGCAGCAACAACATCAAACTCAGAGCAAGGGTTCTAATCGTGAAACTGGACCAATTCTAACTGAGAAAAAAGTGTTCGGACGTATCAAAGAGAGGGAGGAACTGTTACAGTGGTTGATGAAGCCTGTTGCAGAGGAGGATGAGAGCGTTACCAGTGTGTCTCTTTTCTCTATTACTGGCCATGGAGGAGTGGGAAAGACCACCCTCGCACAGCTCGTCTATAATGATGAGAGCTTAGCTAATTCTTTCAGTCGTAAAATTTGGGTGTGTATCTCCACTCCCTTTGATGTCAAGAAGGTTTTGGCAGATATGATTGAATACGCTACGAGGAGGAAGCCTAAAATTGTGGGACTTGGCACGCTCCAGGAAGCTCTTAAGGAAATAGTGTCGTCCGGGAAATTTCTCCTTGTCTTGGATGATGCGTGGAATCATGACAATCGTTCTGAGTGGGATAAATTGTTTGCTCCTTTGAGGAGTGGGCATAAAGGAAGCAAAATCTTGTTAACTACTAGAACAGTGAGGGTTGCAGAAATGGCAGCATTGGCTTTAGGGGGATCAATGAAGGAATCAATGAAACTGAAACCTTTAGATGATGACAACTTCTTATCACTTTTCAACCAGTATGCATTTGCTGGTGTAAACTTATGTGATTATAGCAAGTTGGAATCCATTGGCGAGAAAATAGCAAAAAGGCTTGGGGGCTTGCCGTTGGCTGCAAAAACGATTGGTGCGCTATTGAATTCTAACTTGGATGGCCATCATTGGACTAGAATTTTGCAATCGAATAATATATCTGATGAAGCACAGCAGGGGGATGGTGTGATGTCTGTTTTGATGTTAAGCTACTACCATTTACCAATTCACTTAAGACCCTGTTTTGCTTATTGCAGCATTTTTCCTAAAGATTATGATTTTGTCAAAGATGATCTAGTCTTCATGTGGATGGCTCTTGGCTTCATTCAAAAATCTCCTCAGAATGCGACAGAGGCACTGGAGGATATAGGAAGACGCTATTTTGATGATTTAGTGAAACTATCATTTCTCGAACCAAATTACGATATTGTATATTTCGAAGAAGAAGAGAGAAAATACATCATGCATGATCTTTTGCATGATTTGGCAGGCAAGGTATCTCATGACGAATGTTTTACATTTGTCGGAGATATGTCAATTGACCAGATCCCAAATACGGTACGTCATCTGTATTTTGAAACTGACAAACTTGACCTTCTTCAAGATGTGGACAAATGGAGGAATCTCCGCACGCTTGTGTTAATTTTCAGAGGATATGTTATTGAGCATGCTAATTCTTTTGAGGAGGTGTTTAAATCCCTGGAAAGCATTCGAGTGCTGAACCTAACTGTTGACGGCATGAAAGTATTGCCAGATGCAACTGGTAACTTGAGGCATCTGAGATATTTGTCAATCCATCATGGTATTTCTCGGTTGCCTAGCTCATTTTGCAAGCTTTATCACTTACAGGTGCTTGCTAGCAAATATTTTGGTACTCATTCTATTCTTGACTTGAATAACCTTATTAGTTTAAGACAGCTGATACCATGTTCCGAGTACTATGAAAAAATCGGTAGGATTGGGACACTGACTTCACTTCAAAGGTTGTGTTTCCCTGCTAGTGCTTATAAAATTAGCGAACTGAAGGACCTGAGAGAGCTCCAAGAGCTGAAGATTAATGGCCTTGAGAATGTAAATCATTGTGAGGAAGCTAGCATGGTCGACTTGCATGTTAAAAATAACCTCCACAAGTTACACTTGGTGTGGTCAGATGACGCTGATGTGGCAGATGAGTATGAGCTGGTGCTTGATAAGCTGCAGCCGCCTGGTAGCCTCAAGGAACTAACAATTGAAGGATGCCCAGGTGCCAGGTCTCCGAAATGGATGGGACCAATTTCGTTGCGAAATGTGGAGCACATAGACCTTACAGTTAATGCAGCATGGGAGCACCTTCCTTCCCTCGGGAAGTTTCCATATCTCAAGTGTTTGAGATTGACTGAACTAAGAGCTGTTAAGAAAATTGATTGTGAAGGAGGCTTTCAACAACTAAAGTACTTACATATCTCTGACTGTGAGCAATGGGAAGAGTGGTCTGGATTAGAAGCGGAGACGGTACCCTGGTGCCCTCACCTCCAAGAACTCATCATTGAGTATTGTCCCAAACTGAAGACGTTGCCCCCCCTGCCCCTCGGTCTCCAAAATTTGCTCTTGGATGAAGTGGGATTGTCTGATTCTCCAACATTCTGGGTGGGCAGCAATTATGGTGGTAGCAGCTGCAGCAGTACCATTTCATTGTTATCCTCTCCCTCCCTCTCTGATTTAACAATTAGAAGTTGTGAAAACCTAACATCCGTGGCTGGCTTGTTGCAACATCATCTTACAGCTCTACGGAGTTTGGTGATAAAATATTGCGGAGAGCTTGTGGACTTGAATGCAGAGGAAGGCTTTCGACATCTGCTCTCCATTGAAGATATTGCAATTTCGGATTGCCCTAAGCTGAAAATGGCTCCAGGAACAGTTGCCCCAACTGATTGTTTCCCTCTCTCATCACTCCAATTCCTTGATTTTTCACATTGTGGTGAACTGGACAGTCTCTTTCCTATATTATTAATGCAGGGTGCCCTTACATCTCTTTCATTCATTTACCTACGTGGGGCAAACCAGATAACCTCCTTTAGCTCTGAAGAGGCATGTAGAAGATTAACTTCACTGAGATCATTGCATCTGGAAGGGTGTGGATGTCTCACATCAATTGAGGGTTTAAAGGCTCTTACCCATCTCCATTCACTAATTATTATCAAGTGTCCCAAGCTTGTGCAAGCAGCTGCAGCAGAAAATTCATCATCACTTACAAGGGAGGAGGAGTTCACATTAAGCGTTGACAGACTTGATATTGATGACCCCTTGCTGCTCCACATAGAGCCATTGAGAAAACTCAGCTCTGTCAGAGCAGTGACCGTAGAAGATTGTAGTCATCTACAGGCTGCTCACGCAGAGTCATGGTTGTTGCAGAACACTTCTCTGGGAAGTCTCCATCTGGTGAATATTGTGAACTTCTTGCCTTCTATCCTCCAAACTCTCTCTTCCCTCAAGTCTTTAACACTTACTGGAACCTATGAGCTTCAATCATTGCCACAACTTCCTTCTTCAATCACTGTCACAACTTCCTTTGTCTCTGCAAAGTCTGTGGATTTTGGTCAGCAATGAGACACTGAAGGAGCGATGCCGGGATAATGAAGGTGCCGATTGGTCCAACATCCAACACATCTCTCTCATTGAAATTGATAGCGATTAGGGATATTCTTCGGTACAATCTTTCTTCTTCTGATGTTGTTCCTTTGATGTTCAAAGTCGCACCTACTCCATAACTAAAGGGAACCCTTATGAACAGTAATTTTTTAAAAGAGGATTCAATCCACTTTAAA